CAACAAATGATCGCGCTGTAGTAGTTGATGACATGAGGATCCGGGTTTCGAAGCTCGAGGAGGAATGCTTGAGCATGAAGCAAGATCTTGAGAAGCTAGTGAAGACCAAAAGGTCTTGGAACATTTTCTCAAAGAAACTTGGTTTTAAGCTGAAGTCCAAGTCAAATCCCGAAACCTCCCAGCCCTGTGATGCCAAAGCAACTTCACCTTTACCAGAATCAACAGCACCAGACATGAATAAAGGTGAAAATCATAGTGGTGAGTCGAAAGAATGAATCTTGATCTTGAATTATGAAAGCTAGTTACTAGGCCTCTACTTATTGGTGGTTTTAGTTAATGTTGTAAGTATTATTTTTAGATATTAGATTGTGATACAATAGTCTCGGTTTTTTGCCTTTTTGCTCCAACTTCATCTTCATCTCTTATGCTATCTATCTGGTTTGTTGCATCAGTTTTGTGAGGTTCCTCTGCTTAGCAACAATGTGGAAGAATTGGTTAATTGGATGGGAAATAAAGACAAACCCATTCTACACGTCAATATCCGAATAATACTAAGGTTCAGGGTTCGACTATAACACTTTTTTGATATTGTGTCTCTCTTTAAAAAGATGTGAATACCACACTTCGTTATTTAATTTTAACTTATATTTTGTCTCCTTTTTTTGTGTTTTTTGTTCCGACTTTATCTCCATCTCTTATGCTATCTGGTATGTTGCATAAGTTTTGTGAGGTTCCTCCGCTTTATCAACAATATTGAAAAATTAGTGAATCGTATTGGGGTAAAGACAAACCCGATCTACATATCGATGCCAACAACAATAAGGTTTAGGAATGACGTGAATATTACACTCTTCGTTATCTAATTTAACCCATACTTCGTACATCTAATTCAAGTGTTGAAGTTAGTATAGTATAAAAATTATTTTTGGCCATGCTTCCTTAAGGTATAATTCCTTGCAAGTTTCTCTACTGCGGATGTTTATAAAAATCACTCCGTCATAGTTTCTTCTATCACAAATTTTTAACACGAGACAACTTACCTGGTATAAATATTTTTGAGGAGTAACAATCTATATTGTTATAAGAGTAGGTTTATCAAATATTTTTTGGTCTAAAATAAATTATTCATAAAAAAATTCATGAAAATTTTAGATTTATTAATAGAATTATTTAAATATTTATATGAATTTAGTAATTTTTATGTGGTAATTTAATTATCAACGTGCAATTATATTATTTATTGTAATTATTTTATATTATTGTAATGTATAAGTATATTAAAATACATTTTCAATTTAATACAATAAAAATATTTGATTGATTATATTTAGCTAATAATAAATCTATACTGACCTCTTTTACAATTAAACTAAGCAGAGTAAATAAGATTGTAATGAATTATTTCCATAATCATATTTTATTTTTATTAAATAATTATTATATTACAAGTTAATTACGTAAAATAATAATTAAAAAAACCGTTAAATGAATTCGGACAAAAGCCCAAATCCAAGCCCATCCGAAGCCCATAATTTGGCGGGTTAGGTTGTTGCATGGAGCGCAAACCAACCCGGCCCGGTTTACAGAATCATCGTCTCCATAGAGAATTTTATTATGTGCATGTCGCTGATCAGCAAACCCTAGAAAATCAGCAAGCTTGTATTTCTCCATTGAATCAAATTTCAATTTTTTTTATCCTTTTGCGTACAAATCTCTGGTTCCTAATCCAAGCAGAGATCAAGGTAAGTTTCGAACACCTATCTCATGATACTCAAACTCGTATTAACATGGACGGAGTACACAACTGTATGTAATTTTTAATACGAATGTATATGTTATACATATATGTCTATACATCCGCGAATTTTTTAAGGTCTTGTTATGTTCTAAACTATATGGGGCTTGACTTGAGTAATACAGTATGGTGTATTCAGAAGATTATGAATTCTATTTCTCTCTCAATTGTTCTCGTTCATGGGTTCTCTTGGCTATAAATTGAGCTGGAAATGATTGTATATCAGATTTTATAGTATATTTTCAATGTAGCAATTAAAATCGTAATTTTTAGTCTTTTCCACCTCCGCCCAGATCGTAAAAAGTCCGCCAAATACTCCTTAAATAAAGATTTGTTGGGGGTATGTGATATGTGGATAAAATTTTAGAACGTAGAAAGAGAATTCAGAGGAGATTGAAGTATTGCAGAGAGGATAACATAGAGAAGTATCAGAGGGAAGACAGAGTTCTTTGTTGAGATAAAACGACGCCTTTTACGTCTGTGTACCGGGTACTTCTACAGACACTAGTACCTACTCCGAACTTCTACCGCTTTTCCTGTTTCGTTTCCTAATTGTATGATAATTATGGTTTGTTCTTGATTTACACTGAGTACGTTTGCTTTTAGCTGAACAGTTAAAGAAGTCCTTACATGTAAAATACGGGAGCATATAACAATGCGTACAAAGTAATTGATAAAATGTCTCCCAGATATTTCCTTTGTTCAGATGATTTTAGGTAAATTTTCTTCATAATGATTTCGATTCTTTGGTTACAAATGACCCTCTGCCTGGGGGAATGACTTGCACCAGAGCAGGATTTGCTGGGCAGAGAATAAGCAGGATTAGGGAGAGGAAGAGAGGGAGAGAGGAAAGAAGGTAGACACAGTAAATGAAGATAAAAGAGAAAAAAAATGATATCTTGTTAAAATTAATAGAAATTTTAAACGGGAGATTGGTTGAACTCTTACCGTAATCAGCATTACAATTTTAATTAATTTGCAACTTCTTCAGTTTTGTAGATCTATGGTTCCTTTGTATATAATAAATCCTGATTTTCATTAGGTTAAAGTTTGTCCAGCATGCTTATTCTGTTATCAAGTTATCCTGACTTGCAGCATTGATAAGGGTGGCATTATCATGGACTTAGCAGGGATATAATTATTATCTTGCAGGTTCTCCTACATGTTATCTTGATATGGCAACCATAAAAGAAGGGATGGTTCAGCCTCAGAAAACTAATAATCTTGCTGAGACCACTTCTAAAACTCAAGGTTCTGCTCCGTCATTCAAACGATGGGGTAGGAAGCATCCATTTGTCAGATATGGTCTTCCAATGATTTCACTCACTGTGTTAGGGGCACTTGGTCTTGGCCATCTATTGCAAGGCAGGCTAGTTCAAGAATCTTATTTGCATAATTGCATTTGTTATTATATCAGTTCATTGTTGCATCTAAAATTGATATCTTTATTTTCTTGATGACACATCAGTTAAATCTTTGACTTCATGTATCTATTAATTGGAGATTCAATAATGTTCTTTGAGCATGAGACTGAGATATAGCACAACATCTTATTATAACAAATGTTTTATTGGTGTCAGGAGTCCTGTACTGTTGCAGACAGATAGTCAATCAATTTTTACCTTTTCTTGTTTTCTAGTGGAGGTAGAAGTTTGTGTAATATTGAGAAGATCATTGATGGAAGAGACTAGATCAAAGGCCAAATTTTACCTATAGCTTGTAAGAGGAAGTACTTGTGGATATTATTCAGTTTGTCAATAAATCTGAAGGCAAAAATTTAAACCATCCAGATTCTTCTTTTCTGTTGCCAGACAAAATTCCTAGTATTTTCCAATGTCAAAGCTGTCAATAAGGGAGCTCATGCTCCATTTTTTACTAGGTATGTCTCTATAGTAGCAGTGACCTTTGTCCAAGATCAACTGGTGAACTGATCAAGTTTCCTCTAGGGAGTTTGAATCTTGTACAATGTCAAGATTGCCTTTTCTCTTGTTTCTCACTAGACAGTGAAATGTACATCAAATCTTTGACAATTTAATTGCACAGACAATCAAGGAAATAATACTTTTTTCATGCTGGTGTTGGAATTAAATTTTAGTTTTCGTGACAATCTGTCTCTGTCTTGGTCATTTGTATCTATCATTTTTCTTAGTCAATGAATTCGGAAAGTAGCCCCTAGTTAAAGCTAGGCATCCCACTGAGGTAGCTTGGAGCTGACGTCTCCACCACATTGGTTCGGTTCATTTATTCATTCTCTTGGCTACCCAACACTCTTGATTCAAACACTTGTTCAAACACTTCAGCTTCTTTTTGTCTTAGTCTTACCAGAAAAAGCACCAACTCTTATTTTCATCTTACAAGAGATGCATATTGGTGATTCTTTCAAAAAAAAAAGAGATGCATATTGGTGAGCTTGCCAATCCACTGAAGGAGCAAAAAATTGGTGGAAAGGACAAAGTGGAACTGAACGTGGTTTCCAGTTTAACCTGCTTGCCTATAAACTTGATATAGTAGAATCTTAGGTGATTAGACTGTGCTGCGTGCTATTAGCATTCTTCTCTGTCTACGTGTTCAATAAACAGAGTAGAAAAGAAACATGATCATATTGACTATAATCTCATAACATTCTTAGCTACTTATTTGAACAATTATAATCTTCGTCTGTTTCAATAATAATTTCCTCATATTGTTTGTCTCAAGCTATGCATTGTGATGATATTTTGTAGTTCAGCAAGGATATTGCAAAGGTCAAA